TTTTTTTTTTTACATTTATATTCAACAATCATGTGTTCTTCCACACACACACACACACACACACACACACACACCCGAAGATTACCGAAGTCTCTCAATCCTGATAACCATTAAACGAAGACTGCCCCGACTTGAATTTGTAGATATACGTACACACATGTGGGTCACGCGGTAGCGTAGTTGGTTGACGTACTATGCTACAAGCCTGAAGGCTGCGGGTTCGATTCCCGATGATATCATTGAATTTTCTCAAGTAACCTAATCCTTCCATCCACACTATGGCCCTAGGGTTGACTCAGCCTGTAACAGAATTGAGTACCAGGAATTTTCCTGGGGGTAAATGGCGTCCGCCTCATAAGGCCGACATCACCGCCATCTGCGAACCAATTGTCTAGAAAAATGTGGGATCCTCGGCGTCTCGAAACTCTTTGGGCCTTCGCGGCTTGTTACAGGGATAACTTTACTTTTTTATGCACAAATATATATTTAATAAGAACATAATTTTTAATGTTTCTGAAGTCTTCTTGATCGTAATCGACAACTCTGTACGAAAGCAAATTATTTATTTCAGTAAAAGTCTGGAAATAAGAAAAAGAAGTCTTGATCTGAATTCAAATTGCGTTGAAATCAAATTTATTTTATTCGTTTAATTTAGTGCTGCATTACGGTATGACTTTGAAGCAAGAGTTAAACAATTTATATGTGTGGGTGTATATGCCCGTATATATATTTTTTAATTCTCTGTTAGTTTGTGTAATGACAGTGAACAGCGAAGCCCAGATATTCTTTTTATTCATTCGGCATATACGAATATACATCGTGGCCAGGATCAACTAACAGTGAATAGTTGCATGTGAATTTATGCTTATTTGTACGAAGATAAAGTTCATCATAGTCCTAATTATTCGGTGTATCTAAAGAAGATACCTACCGAATTACTGAATATCCACTCATATCTCAGTGTTTTTAGCGTACTTTCCTTCTTTTGAAAAATAAAATTAGGCTTATGTGATTTGCTTGTCGTCTGGGTGTGTGTGAGTGTATAGTGTATATTCCCCTAACAACTTTTGAACGCCCGAACCAATTTGCATGAATGTTGCTATGTATTATAGTATCATACTACCTGACGCGATCTCAACGGCATATTCATAAATCCCACCCATCAATAATACCAACACTGCAGCGTCTCATATTTTTGGGGCAATTACCGCAATGTTACTTGAATCCTTGAACCGATTGTCTCGAAACTTGGTATGTATATCGTGCCACCTGAGGCCATCTCAACGGCGTACTTAAAAAAATCCCTCCCATCAGTAATACCAACACTGAAGCCTCTCAGATTGTATTGTTTTATTGACTTCAGTACACATACATACCAGAGTTCCCCCTCCCCCCACCTGTCCTATTAGATACTCAATTGATAGTGAAGGAATTTAGGCTACTAGTTCTTCCCAGAAGTTCTTATTGTAAGTTATTTTAAGTTTATGGATGTTGGCATGCCATCGTATACGTCTCCCGAACGCACCTGTTAAGTGTACGCTGTATACTTTTACAGTCATGTTGTTTTTTCTCTTCTGGGTTTCCTTTCCTTTGTTTTATTTTTTATTTTATTTTACATCGTTTCTTTACCTTCTCGTTTTCGTTTATTTTGCATTCAGTTCTTCTTTCTTCCCCCACCCACTTTTTTGTATGGCCAACTCCTTTTTGCCGCCTATGTCTTCCTTTCTCTTATTATTGGTTAATCCCTCTCTCGTTTCTTGTCATTCGCTATCTTCCTTCGGCAGTATTAGCCCAGTACAGTGCGACGACTTGTGATGCTTTCGTCTGTTTTATACAGAGTTTATGTGAAGACGCTTTCTGCATTGCTTCAGATACGTACGTGTATATAGCTTTGAACTGGGAAGATTATGATCATTGGATCTTGAAGGTTCCGGAAGAAAACAGTGGATTATGTTGAGGTGGGTGTAACTGATGCAGAATTAGATGATACTTGGCCACGCGTGTTTGCCGTGCTGGAGGGGAGTTGGACCGCAGTCTGTCGCAAACAGTTGACCGCTACGTTTACCATCTTCAGTGATATCATGCTGTAAAATTTTTCAGAAGGGTTCCAATGTTTGGGAGGAACTTGTTGCCTTCATTTATAGATCAAACTGATTGGCGCACACAGCAGAAAACTGTAATCTTAACATTCACTACCGTGAAAGCCTCACATCCCAAGAGTGAGTACGGTTTTCTGATGTTTTCTAAACCGTTCATATTTAGGAAATAATTTAAGGAGTGGTTGCTTGACGTCGTCTCTGGTCACTGCGCAAGTCACTCACAAAAAAGAACAAAGAAACTCCGTGGTTTTAGTCCTCAACCGAACTATACCGACCGAGCGACCGCCGCTCGTCGACGAAGTTAGTTCCAACTTTAGCGGGTAGAGGGTGTCGTGTTGTCGGCGCAACGATTCCCCACGGCCGTTAATTTCGGTTCTCTAGACTGGAGTCACTATTTCCTTGAAATAGCTCCTCAATTATCCTCACGAGGCTGAGTTGACCCCGTTTCAGATCCACTACTTCTCAGAAAATCTGGTAGCGTCGGGAATCGAACCCGGACTCTGGATCTTTAGCCAGGAACTCTGACCGCTAGACCAGAAAGACAGTCTAAGGCAGGGGTTCTCAACCTTTGTGAGACCGCGGCCCGGTAAATTCTTTTTTCTATAAGACGAGAACCCGGTATAATTGATGCTAGGGCCCGGTACCGGGCCGCGGCCCGGCTGTTGAGAAGCACTGGTCTCAAGGGACTCGCAAGTGTCGCCCTATTTCGTGCCATTTGTACTGTCTCAGCACATGCCTGGGTAAACAGGAAATCCACGGTAAACGTCAGTGATGACGTTTAGCCGCACGGTTAGTTGCCTATGCTGCTAGCATGAGGACATCGTGTCGACTTGAGGTCTGCCCTTCTCTCCAGGTATCCATTATCAAATTGAGTACGTTTGTACATCGGTCTGAAGCACACGCTTTATTAAAATAGACTTTAGGGAAATATGTTTGTACAGTTTAAATTAAACGCGGGAGAACTGCCACAGAATCGTATTATCTTGTCAGGTGCTTAGCGAGTTTTTGGATGAGACATGTATTGAGCTGCCCAGGCAACTACCTAGTTAGATAATGAGCAAACCAGCCAGTGAGCTCGCTAGAAGGAATATACGCCAGTGAACTAAGCCTGTATTTACATATTTATATAAACGCTTCGGGAAATGCTTCTATATTACGTTTCACAGATTTCGAAATACTGTCAACCATTTTGTGAAACTTCTGGCAATATCCTATAAAGAACTCAAACATACGTGATTGACATCAGTAATTGTGTCGAAAGCCATCTTCAAATATTTTACTAATCCGCAAATAAACTGCGTACTATCTAGGCGTATAGCACTTCACCAACTAACTACAGCAGCAGAGTGATTCTTGAGAAGCCGGTGGTAGCTCAGATATAAAAGAACTGCAAATTTTATACCTCTCCAAGTTTCGTTAACCGTGTCTCACATGAGTTCGCCACTGACACGTACTTTGAAGTATTATCCTCCCTTCTTCGCCTTCATCACCCAAATGACCATTTCTCTTCAGATTTTTTTAATTCCGATTTGTATTTTGCAGTACCGAATTCCTGCCACCATAATTTTGACTCCTAGAAATAGAAATACCGTGTAATATGTTTTGTTTACATGTTAACACTTACAGGTTTGTGTGGAGCCCAGGAGACATTCTATTTCTCTCGTAATCCGAGTAATGCGGACGTAGTGGCCGGCTCGAATATTACTCTGGAGTGCGAGGTGTCCAACGAAGTGGACATAACGTATTACTGGCAACTGAACGGGGTTCGACTTGTCAACACGACGCGACGCTATCAGCGGGGATCCCATCTGCACATCACACGGGCGGATCGCATCCGTGACTTTGGCGAGTTCACCTGCATCGCAATGAACGTTAGCAATGGATTCTCGCTTACCAGCGTGGCTGCTTCACTTAACATATTATGTGAGTACTGAAATATAACATAACGCTCTGCCTGCCGTACGTAGCTTTAACGGCAGTATATTTGGTGTTGTAGAATGTTTGTCTTTAGTGTAAGTCGCATTGTAGTTCCGGGATGTTTTCACATTATGTCCGCCTCCATGGGAGCCGAGATGGCATAGTCGGTATAGCGACCAGCTATGGGCTGGACGAGAGAGGGATCGGAGTTCGAGTCCCGGTACGGTCAAGAATTATCTCTTCACGTCGTCCAGACCGGCTCTGGGGTCCACCCAATATCCTATCCAGTGAGTACCGGGGGTAAAGCGGCTGGGGCGTGAAGTTGACCACTCACCTCCAGCTAGTGCCGAGGTCAAGAAAATATTGACCTCTATATACACTCCCCCATACGCCTTCATGGCGTAGTGCTTAATTGGTTAACCACAGGGACAACTTTACCTTTTTCATTAAAATATTATGTACTTATTGTAGCATAAATGCGAAGATGACGTTAAGATATGAGTATATCTCAAAGAATGAGGGCACAGATGTAGAATTAGTTCATCACATTCAGAATAGGCGATATTGTAACCGCTGCTTGGAGGTCTGATAATTCTTTTCGTCGAACTGGAAAGCAGAATTCTGAGTGCAGGGTCATAGATTCGAAAGATATTAATGGAGACACACGGGGGATGATAAATATCAGGATAATTCATTACGCCGCCCTCTGTCCGGGATAGATGAGAATTCTCAAGTCCAATTGAACAGTGTTCTCTCTGCAATAGTGAGAGTGCGGGACTTCTGTTAACAGGTTCCGTGGTGCAGCGGTCATCCGTCAGCCCAACCTGGGAAGGCTCCGGTTCGAGCCACCCTTTATCTAACAATAATCAAACAAATTTTAATATAGAAAATAATTTCGTAATAATCATGATATTTGATAATAGCGAAGAATCTGCAAAAGTAGCGGCTCCGGTCTAGAAAACCGAAATTAACGGCCATGGGGATTCGTTGCGCTGATCACGCGACACCCTCTATCCGCTAAAAGTTGGCACTAACTTCGCCGACAAGCGGCGGCCTCTCGGTCGGTATAGTCCGCTTGCGGACCAAAGTCACGGAGTTTTTTTAGTCTAGTTTCTGCGAAGTTCATCGATGTTCCATGCAACAAAAGCATCCAGCCAATACAGCCCAAGTAATTAAACATATACGGATCTTGTAAAGAAGTTGAAATCAGGCGTAGATCCTGTCCGTAGCTTTACGTACGAAAGCCCGTCATCATTGGAGCCTACTGTGCTGGGTGGTCTGTGCTTAATTCCTCATCTTCCGATTCCTGAATTGATCCTTTGAGACTGAGAGTGACGACTCTTCTGTCCCCCGCTTTCGCCGGCCGGAACACTCCGGACATTTGTACTCGAGTTTCCGGAACAGTCCTTACAGCCTTTTGATTTTCTAGCGGAACTCTTTCTCTTTTTATATTTCCCGTTCTGTCCTTTCTTCTTTTTCTCGCTTTCTATCTCCCTTCCTTGTCTCATTTCTATTATTACTTTCCCTCCTCTTCCGTCCCTTCATTTTCCAAACAACAAACAAAACAAACTCCGTGGCTTTAGTCCGCAAGCGACCTATACCGACCGAGCGATCGCCGCTTGTCGGCGAAGTTTATCGGATAGAGGGTGAAGCGTGGTCAGCGCAACGAAACCCCACGGCCGTTAATTTCGGTTTTCTAAACCGAAGCCACTACTTTACCATTCAAGTAGTTCCTCAATTATTTTCACGAGGCTGAGTGGACACCGTTCCAGACCCACTACTTCTCAGAAAAGTCTGGTAGCGTCAGGAGTGGAACCTGGACCTCTTGTTTTTGTGGCCAGGAACTCCTGACCACTAGACCACAGATCCAACGGCGTCTTATATTGGCTTTATGAGAAATTAACACAGAAGAACTTGAATAGATTTCGGACAGTGACTGAAATCGGTTTCTTATATCTGTACCAACCTGCAGCTGCATAGCGAGCACGAGAATGGACTCATTAATATGTGCAGGACAAGAAAAAATACTCGTATCCAAAGCAGACAGCTAGCTGATTACACAATGGTATGCGGAACTCAGCCCCACACCAACTCACCATGTAACTAAGAATGGTATGAAATTCCACTAGAGACTGTTCAAAAACCTGAATGAGTCTACTCCAAGAAGGACTGCGGCTGTATTGAAGGCAAGAAGATGGCCCGACACCATATTAATAAAGACATGTACGTGTATACAGGATCTATAGTGAGTCCATTATTCCTCTGAGCCCCTGTATGTGCGCATGCTTCGTCCATAGTGTGCCTACAGTTAGTTTCTTTAGTTTCTTGGAGTGGGGTGAGACTGAGTCCACTTGGTATACGTCGCCACTAACTGGCCTATTGTACTAGCCCAGGATGATAGATGATGAATGTGGAGCAGTCGGTGGAATGTGAATTAAACCGAAATACTGATGTCCACCACAAATCCCACATGATTTGGACCCGGGCTCGAAACCGGGCTGCAGCGGTGGGAAGCCAGCGACTATTTTTTTTTAATTCGCTTAGTGGGGGGTGGAGTCCAACTTGGTCGACTCTGCATGTACNATCTTACAAAGTATTGTCCGTTCTATAGGGAATGTAAACAACGACTCTAGAAAGAAAGAAAAAAAAGAAAAATGAGGAAATATCAAACCGCCTACCAATCCACTCAGGGGTGCCCCAAGGAAGCTTACTAGGTCCNCACTTTGTCCACTACAAATCCCACTTGACCACACCCGGGATCGAACCCGGGCCGCCGTGGTGGGAAGGCAGAAACTAACCGCTTGAGCTACTGCACGGCCCCGGGCTTACAGCGTGGAGGCTACAACTTCTTTTTCGCATATGTATGGTATACAAAGACACCAACGACCGAAGCTCTTTACTCTAAAGGAAATGCGAGAAGCAATAAACAATCTAAAGCCAAAAAAGGCAGCAGGCTATGATAACATCACAGCGTAATACTAAAACATTTACCAAGGAAAGGCCAAATAAAACTCCTATACATGTTTAACACCATACTTAGACAGGACTATTGGCCTCGTCCGCTCAGAATCGCCCAAATCATAATGATCTTGAAACCAGGCAAAAATCCAACAGTCGTCACATCCTACCGACCAATAAGTCTTCTATCCACAGTTTCAAAAGTCCTCGAAAAACTAATACTCAACAAAATAAACCAAGATTCAAACCCACAAACATGGATACCAAACCATCAGTTTGGCTTTCGACAAACTCACTCAACCATCCAACAAAGCTATCGCATAGCAAATACCATAACAAACGCGCTAAATAACAACTGCACAGCAGCATTTTTAGTTATAACCCAGACTTTTGACAAAGTCTGGCATCCTGGCTTACTTTGCAAAATAAAAATAATTTTCACAACGAACTATTACAACCTGCTCAAGTCATATTTAAGCGAAATATTTTTCGAAGTCAAAATAAATGAGGAAATAGAACTTCTTACGTATAATAAAACCGTCACAACTCAACTGTGTGAAGGTCATTGCCTAGTTTTGGCTTTGCTACATGTTTCGGCTATTAGAAGCCATCATCAGGAAAATACATGGTCAACATATATACAACTACTGAACTGCAGTATTAATAAAATTTGATACAATAATATTAATTATATTAAAATACTTGGCGTAAAA